TCATTTCACCCACCTCGGAAGGATGGAAGGCTGAGTCAACCTTGAGCCCGTGAGATTAGAACCGCTGAACTGCAGATAACAGTCAGCTGAAGTGGGTGGTAAGTGAAGAACCCTCTGTATATCACACTTATAAACACAATTCTCATAATGACATTCTCATCACATTAGAAGGAACTTGGGATGGACATCTGATGTTATTGATGATACAGACTCCTGGAGCCACAATTTTCTATGGCTACATTGTAAGGCAGGGGTGTCAAACTCGACTTCATTGAGGGCCACATCAGGGTTTTGTTTGACCTTGGGGAGCTGGGGTGGATGTGGCCAGGGTGGGCGTGGCCAGCCGGAAAGCACTTTTGCGGAGGCACCCACATCAGTGTTGTGTTTGACCTTGAGTTTGACACCCCTATTCTAAGGGATGATGACAAAGTTAAGGACTGTTCGAAGATGTTCAGGTAGATGTGAAGGTTAACTTAATTGAGGGAAAGGAAGGTGTGTTTTGTTCTATTTTACCGCAACTCTTCATTATGGGGAGGCGTTGCTGATTGAATTGGAGAATAAAGCTGATTGAAGAGTTCCCCACAAACATCAACCAGACAAGCAAAATAAAATAAAAATAAACAATCAAGTGAAATCCCTGCGTCTAGAAAGTTGTCAAGCTAAATTGAATTTTATGCCTACAGAAGGTGGGCTTGGCGACACGGAGGCCCCTAATACAGCTTTGCCACCTCTGAGAACTTAAGACTGGAATGTCCTTGAAAACAAAAGCAATGTGAAACCGCTTGGATAAATGTACTTGAAAGGCCCCCATCCTGTATAAAGACATTTTTTTGGCTTAAGAACAAATCCCAAGAAAGAGATTTTTGCACTCCGAGATCACTCGGTTAACGTAGAACAAGATTGATTTTTCGGAACCCGTCCGTTTCCATTGTGGAAAGTCCCTGACTGTGTTGTTTTACTTTAAGATAAAGATTCTCCTCATACATATGTGCTAGTCATTCCCTGCTCTATCTATCTATCTATCTATCTATCTATCTATCTATCTATCTATCTATCTATCTATCTATCTATCTATCTATCTATCTATCTATC